AGATCTCCAGCCAGTCCTTTACCCAGCAAAGAGTATAGTTGTCCAAGCCATGGGCTGCCAGCTTCCCTAGGAGAATACTGTGGGAGACAGCATCTAAAACCTTGCTGAAATCTAGGTAGACTATGCCAACAGCCTATCCCTCATCCATCAGGCTGATCGGCTGATTATAAAAGGAGATTAGGTTGGTCAATCAGGATCTGCCTTTCATGAACTCATGCTGTCTGGGCCTGATCCCCTGGTTGTCCTGCACATGCCTTGTGATCTCACTCCAGATGATCTGTTCCAGATGATCTAGCCTTAGCACTGAGGCCAGGCTGACAGGCCTGTAGTTCCTCAGACCCTCCTCATGACCCTTTTGTAGATGGGAGCTACACTGGCAAACCTCTGGGACCTCTCTGGTTGATCAGGAGTGCTGATAGATGTTGGAAAGTGGCTTCGCAATCACCTCTGCCAGCTCCCTCAGCACTGTCAGATGGACCCCACCTGGCCTCCTGGACCTGTGACAGTCTAGGTGCAGTACTAGATCTCTAATTGTCTTCATCTGAATTGCAGGGAGTTTGTTCCACTCCCCATCCCAGACTTCCAGGTCAGGGGGTAGAGTTCCCTGATGATATCTGGACTGACTATTAAAGACAGATGTAAAGAAAGCATTGAGAATCTCAGCCTTTTCCCTAATCCTCAGCGGTTACATTCTTCACTCTACCTGCTGGAGATTCTCTTTAACCCTCTTCTTACTGCTATTGTATCTGTAAACATTTTTTTTGTTGTCTTCTATTACAGTGTTCAGGAGACATATTCTCAGAGTTATACATCACTGCTGCTTGTGTGATGTGTAGTAAATCCCTAAACGACACTTCTGCTCTGGTACAGTTTATAATGCATTGTTAATTCATTTCTATTTCTCAGTCATCTGTGATTTACTGGTAGCAATGTAATCCATACTTATATATTGAAATTGAAATCTTGTGAAGATAAGAATTTCTCAAGAATAGTGGAGATAGAACTCCTGGAATATTTAGTTATTTTCCTCTATTACCTAGCTTTGTCTTACGTGGATATATATCACCATTCAATTGTATGATATTAAACATAATAACATTCATTTGCATACAGTCATCTACAACTTTGTTTTGCTTTGCTACTCTAGTAAGATGCTACAACTTGAATAACTGGAAATATCACAATCCATCAGTGTTTCTTAATGTATCTGCAATACACGAAGCAGTTGCTGGCTTGTTGTCAGTACAGCATTTTCAGATGGAGTATTATCTATGTACACATGGAAAAGTTGCATTACTATTTATTTCTGGCCTCATGAGTTCTTAGCTCTGTGTTCTGTGCATACACAGAAACTGTTCTTTTTCACTACTTTTTTTCTGTATTCATACTTCTCTCATTCTTTTCTCTCACAACTCACATTTGGAGCTTTTATTAAATGCTGCTACTTCAGAAAAATAATACAGTACAATCAGTATTGTACAGAGGCATTATTGAAAGATTGAAGTATAGCTGTTGGCTGCACTTCCACTGTTGGTCTTAAGATGGTAGCCTAAACCCTGTTATCCAAATCCATGCACTTTGTTTTCATCAATGTTGAAATGATAACATTTCTTTCGTAATTTCTAAAGTGGGATTTTTTTTTAAGAACAAATTTTGTGAGCAGTAAGATGAAAGATGTTTGTGAATTGAAGCAAAAGAATGGAATATGTCATTTAATTCTTAAGGTTAGAGCATATATATAATTCAGAAAGAATATATGAAACAAGAGGGAGATAGATGCAGTAGAAAAATAAGAGCTTGTAACACAGCCTGGCAGCTTGTGGCTCTGAAGCTGACTCTGAGACAGCAAAACTTCCAAGTCTTAGTGTAGGATAGTCTGGGACACTGCTTATCAGTGATACAGAAAATATGGCTTGCCTAGACTAGTCAACTTAGCTTCTCAATGTCTGTATGGTGCTGCAATCATATTTGCCAGATGCTTAACATGGATTTGGGGAGCAAATGTGGAAGACTAATGAGAAAGAGAATTTCAGGTCATCATAAACAATACATAAGTTGAGTTATTTTCCTTTCTCTTAGTCATTTTTGTGTAAGTTTTCCTGATACTATCCATTACATTCTTTTTTTTGTGTGTCTAATAGAATCCTTTAAAATCTTTCAGAAGAAATAAAGGAGGGACTTTAGAATGTGCAGCTAAATCCTTCAGTTCAACAGCTTTCCTTACTTTTGCGATGTCTTTTACAGTCTCTGTTACTTGCTAAACAGAATTCACAGTCAGATGTATTTTGTGAATGATTAGGATTAGACATTTATTTGTGGTAACTTCAAAATGTCACCCCGCTCTTGTAATTTTCCCTCTCTAAGGCAACTATAAGTGAGAATTAGAGAAAAAAAAGAATGCGTGCTTACGTCCTGATTCGTCACCAGGTAAGCACATTGGATTAAATCCTACATACCTTTGGTACTCAAATCTTCCAGGAAAGTTAACAGCAGTTTTGCATAAACATGGAATGTGAGTGTCAGAGTCATTCTGAAGGAAAGGAATCCATGCCGTGTACTGTGCAAATCATGTCTATCTCCATATTAGTGCTGAAATTACTTTATAATAGATCAGATAATAGCCACTTTGATTTATATTTGAAACAAAGAAGGAACAGAAAATGTGGGCAGAACAGAACTAAAACCAAAGACTATGTAGAAATTATTCCTGTAGTCTTTTTGGGCATGCTGCTAGAAAAGGCTAACTTTAGATCATTTAGGTCACCAAAAATCAGTTCATTCAGATTTGGCTACAAAGTGCCATATGTGTTATGTTTTTTAAAATCTAGGATGACCTTAAAGAAATAAGAAAAAAGAAATGCAAGGTAGTCCTTGTGGCAAGATGACAAACCCCACTGGTCAAAGTGGAGTGTCTTGTTTCCTTATATTATAGCAGTATTTGAAAATGTGAATTTCCTGGTTGTGGGTAAAGTATTTGCATGTATTGGCTTACCTAAACTATTTCTGTGGCTCTAGAAAGAGCAACTCATGCCAACCATGCCTATGTAATACTAATACATCCCCAAAAAACACATGATGGTTTTAGCATTGTTTTATAACAATTTTGTTCCTATTTTGTTGTTGTTGTTGTTGTTAGACACTGCTGTGTCTAACATATTTAATCAAATTGTGTTTTGCATTTTTTTGCATGCTTACTTTGCTACTCATGGCCATGGATACAAGAGAAAAACTGTGCATGAGGAGATGAAATTGAGGCATTCCAAAATTCAGAAATTATTAGTCAGAAACAATCCAAGTCAGAATTAAGAGAAGTCAAGACACTAAGAAGGGGCATGACTGACATCCAGGATAAACAATTTGCAATTGTAAAAGACCAGAAAGAGGAACACTTATAGAGAAATGTAGAACTAGAATATTGTCGCGAGGCAAAGGAAGGCCTTGAGAATTAGAGCTAGGATACAGGGTAACAGTGTGACTCAGAAGCAGTGGAAATGGGTACCAAGAGCTAAAACCAGGTGCAATGTATGTGAGAAACCACATGCATTCTATTACCTTTGCAAATTAATTCTACATGAATTATAAAAACATTATTTTGCAGTATTAAGATTTTGTATTCATGTTTATGGGTAAAGGAGCCAGATTTACAGCAGTCTGAAGAATGAGAGCTGTAACGAGCCCTCCTTCCTCCCCCTGCTGCATGACAATTTAGATAGTCCATCTTAGGTACTGGCGTGCAGTTGTTTGAATTGCACTGGCTGCCCAGGAAAATAGAGACTGTGTTTGTCTATCACAGCACTTAACTGTATATTCAAGATCTAACAATATTCAAGGTCTAAATATCTTACTCAACTTTGAATGAAGCTGCTCCCACCCTCAAGAATATGAGGAGCAGTATATTACTGATACTGTTCAAGAAAACCACATTTTGCTCATAACACCTGGCTGCCTTTATCCCTCAATGTAGCAAGAAAATCATTCTTCCCGTTATGACAGTTTAACCTAACACCTCCTCCAAAAATTGGATGCTTCAGTGAATCTAACAATTTAGGATGCAATTCCTCAGGTTTCCCTTGAAGCATTGTTCTTCTTTGTAGTGACTTCTGTTTCCATAAACAAGGTACATGATGAGTTTGCCCAAGTTTGGATGTAAATACTGGCTTGCTAAGCTTTAATAACCGCTAAATAAACTGATAGGTTTGAGGAGATTATTCTGTTCATTCTCTGAGTGAGGAAAAACAATGAGAGACTGTAGAAAATTAAAAGGAAAATGAAATATCCAAACTTCATATACTAATTTACAGAAACTCTTCTTCCAGCTCATAAAGTGACATGACTCTGTTTGACGCAGAGAAGGTGGAGTCTATAATGACTGTGTCTTTAGTGGAATTTGCAGATAGTTGGAGTGGGAGGTGTGTCCTCCTCCATACTGCCTTACCTGAGCACAGGGCACGTTTCCACATGTTCACTCGGGAAGAAGGTGTTTTTCCTGGCTCGTTTAGCTCTCTGTTTCGATATTGGATGTATGTTGCTCCCCAGAGGAATTTAGAGATACATAAGGAGGAGTATTACTTCTAAATTCCAGGCTTAGAAAAGAAATGCTAGAAGCCTCAGAATTTGGTGCTGCACTGACTTCCTCAGTGCTGTATAGGGTCTTTGTGAGGGGTACCCTACTAGTGAGCTATTTCTAAATCAGGCACACCTTTGGGTTGGGCTTATTTTGGAAACTAACTACTTGAGGAGGGCTGAGGTATGAGGTCTCCTAGAGAGAAGTGATTATATTTTGTGTTTTTACATGTACTTTCATCAGCTGATGCAGCTGAAGGACAGTGTCCTCTGTAAGTAACACATCAGGAGACAGAGGAGTGGTGCTTTGTAATAAGCCTTCCCTGGCATTTTTTTTTTTCTTTTTCTTTTTTCTTCTTTTTTTTTTTTTTTTTTTCCCCCATAGAGAGGATTACTGACTTTCAGACAACTAGGAAAGAAAGATAAAGGGACGTCCAATGGGGGTACCTTTATTTGGTGATAGCAAACCCTTCTATTTCCGGATCTGGAATGGACTAAGCCAGAAGTTGCAAGGCAAAAAGTCCTGGGATAAACATCTGGATGAAATCTACTTACTCCAGCAGAAAAGGTATGGTGCTCTTTCTTGTCTACCCTTGCTTCTGCTGCTCTCTCCTTGTAGCTCACTCTCACTCCCTTCCCTTAGGCTGTTCTGCCAGCAAACAAGCTTTGAAAAGACTTTAGAACACTGTTCTCTATCAGGCAACCTCTTTCAAGCTGGAATGTTTCTGGAGTTCCACTGTTATCTGCTTTCACATACGCATTTACTAAATCTCAATTGAATTACTCTCAGTGCAGGACTTCAGTCACAAATTAATAACGTGTGCTTTTTTTCTTTCCTGCTTTATTAGTAAAGCTCACAAGGAAGTGCATGAGTTGGGTTTTGTTTTGCTGTCATTAGAAATGTATGTGGCACTTAAACTGCAGTCAGTTGTATTTGAAATGATGGTCATTTAAAGGGATTCTGTTTTTCTTTTATTTCTCTGAAGGTTGCCCTTATTATAAGATAGAATGAGCTTAACATTCTACAATCTGATGATCATTTGCTTTGTCAGTTTGACTGCCATTTCTAACCCCCTTGGATCAGGTGCAATTATCTATAATTCAAAGAATGAATCCTCCTAGACCTCGTGTTATCAAGAAGATTGCTTGTGTTTTTGTGTGTCATACTGGATCAAGGCTCTTTGCTACTGTTCCATTGTGTTTCTCCTTCCACACACTGTAGTGCAGGAGTATTCATAGAAATCCAGCTGAATCTGTTTTTCATTTTTCTCTTTTCTGCATGCACAAAAACTGCATTAGTCCAGTAAAAATTGCTTCTGGTCCTCCACTCCTTTTTTTCTAAATTTCCTTATAAAACTCCAAGCATCTCTGAGGAGAAAAATGTGCCAGCATGGGACAAATATACAAATACACCCAGCCATGTGCAGGAATAACCTGAATATGAACAAATGTCTTTATCTGTCTTTAGGGAAAGAACTTCAAAATAATCATTTAACTCCTCACTGAAAAACAAAAAGTCTGTATTATTTTATTTCAAAGAAGTGAAACTTAAATACACTTAAAATAGAAAGGATGGTAGCAACAACTGTGTGTCTATAGAACTCTGAATTGTTTACATTTGTGTACATGGATGAAAAACATGAGTAACTGAAAAATAAGTTCTCAGTAGATTCTGTTATCTCCAACTGAACACATGCAAGCTAAAAGTCTGAAAACATTAATATTTTTACAGTTGTAACATCATCTTCCCAATTTTAAATCATATAGATGTGGGAGAAAACTCTGGAGTTTTCTAATCTAATCACTAGCTCAAAGCTGAGCTATTGCCACCTCTAAATCATACTGCTTTGGCTCTGTGTAATTGAGTCTTGAAAGCCTCCCAGGAGAGAGATTCTACTACTTCTTTAGGAGTCTGTTACAGTGTTACGGTGTTTTGCTGATAAAGGTTGGTTGTTCCCCCCCCCCCCCTAATATTCAGCCTGAACTTTTGAATTCATCACTCGGTGTTGTAGCTCCTTGTTTTGCCTTATTGGTAATTTGCTATTACCAAGGGGCCAACATATGGTCCCTTCCTATTTTTTCACTCTTCTTCTCATAGGCTACTGTTAGAATGCCTCACAAGCTTTCCCTGTCAAGTCCAGCTACCTCAACCTTTCTTCATACTGAAAGTCAGTGGTAAATATGTTACTATTTTTCTACTGGGCTCTGCTTTCATGATCTTGTGTGTCATGACTCTGTGCTAGAATTATGTTTTTGTTTTTTTTTTTTCTGAGCCACAACTGATGATGATAAGGCCTGGAAGCTAGCTGGGTAATTCTCACATTCACTGTTGTTGCCATTTATTCATCACGTGTATTAGTTGGTTGCATCCTGTTGGCATTTGATCTCAGCTTTATCCAAAGTAGGGTATTTTTTTGGCTCAATCCTGCACTGTGTAACATTCCCCAAAGTGACATCCAAGTTTAGGAAATGTGATACAATCTTCTTATGTCAGAGAGGACTAAGAGTTTACTTAGCCTTACTCTGCTGGTTTCTTCCTGTTGAAGAATCTTCTTACTTAACTCATAGCTCTGTGTAAAGTTCTGGTGACAGAGGTCACAACTCATAGGAGCTTTCTAGAATTATCTTTGGAATTAAACATAGCCTGGAGCATATGAACATTTAAAAAAAAAAAAAAAAAAAAAGCACAGTTCATAACCAGGTTTTAATAAGTAATAAATATTTATGAAAATGCAGGGCTGATAAGGGTGAAGAAGAATCAGATGCCTGTCACAGCCAATAGATCTTCCAGAAGTGCTAAGAGTCATTGGTTTGTTGGTTTTGTTGTTCTTGTTGGTTCTTGGTGGTGGTAGTTATGATTGTTTTGTTTGTTCTTATCTGGCTTTTAGTGTTAAAAAGTGTTTAAAAGTTCCAAGGAAACAGAATCTCCCTAACATGTAATTTTAGAAACTCCACCATATGTGAATTACACTGTTCATTAAAAATAATCAAGGAGTAAACTAAAGCAACTGACTGCATGAATCCATAATGTTAAGCTTTATTTTCCTTTCTGCTACTGCCTGCCTTTATAACTTGGGTTGATAAGTTATCTATATGTCTCTTCTATCTCACAGCTGGTTCTCAGAAGTTAGTGGTATCAGCTGACTTTCCTGGGATGCTATGAGACTTCATTATTCTAATAACAATAAATGTTTAATCTATGTGGTACATTTCAACACAAATATTGAAGCCCTTTTGCACATAAATTAAATGGAGATATCTGCATTTTAAGAAATAATGCATTAGAGGTACTTGGAACAGTTTACATACCTTGCAGAGAGCAATCTTCTTATGGCTGGCAGAAGTGGCTCCAGCTGTGCTGCGGTGGAAACCTTGTAACCTCTTTTGTTGCCTTAACTTTTTGTCACTCTTCAGTCTCACAGACATCAGTGAAATGCTTTGCCTACTTTTATTTATTTATTTATTATTATTATTATTATTATTATTTGTGGAAACAAGCATAAACAAAAGTTAGCTTAGTTTAATGTTATTGAACTGGGATGCTTAAGTTGTACCTGGGCACAGAAAGCTTTTGCCTTGTTGGCAAATCTTTCCCAAGCAGACAGTGAGTGAGATATGTTATCATAGTTTTGCTTTTCTTTTGTCTAAATAATGTTACTGAATTTTCTGTGCACAAATTAGTGTACCACTCTTATCTTGAAATCCACAGTGCCTGTTAATATTAATTGGTTCCTTTGCTTCCAAAGATGACAGTGAAATTAAGATGCCAGTTCCCAGTTCCATCTGTAATACTTCTTAGTAATGGTTCTCACGAGCAGTCAAGGTGGAAAGAATAGACTTTAAAAACTCTGCTGTAACATGTAAAATAAAGCCAAAGGGATCACTGGCAGCATTTTTAGTCATTTTATTCTTATGCTATTATGACTTCATCATAATGGAAATTTTCAGTCTAATAACAGAAGGCAAAACCTAATAATCTCAGGTGTAAAGGTCCTCCAGAATTCTCAACACACAGATAAACACATCTGACCCCGCTGCCCAAGATGTGGCTTAGCCTCACAGATTTTGGAAGGTACTTGTGTGCAAGTTTCCTAATGAAGAGATCAACATAAAAAAATTATGTTTTGCAAGAAGGAAAAACAGAAGATTGTTAGAGAAAACCAATTAGATATTAGGGTGAGGAACAGAACTTGGAATAAAACAACAACAATGAAAGCACTTTATTGAAAAGATTTGGAAGTTTTGATGCAGGATGAATTTGTGTTTAAAATAATACATTTTTTAATTAATAATTCAATTGAATTTGAATCATAGAATCATAGAATGGCTTGATTTGAAAGGGGCCCAAGGATCATCAAGTTCCAACCTGCCTGACACAGGCAGGGCCACCAACCTCCAGGTCTGGTACTAGATCAGGCTGCCCAGGGTCACATCCAGCCTGGTCTTGAACATCTCCAGGGATGGAGCATCCACAGCCTCTCTGGGCAGCCTGTCCCAGCACCTCGTCTCTCTCTCTGTGAAGAACTTCCCCCTGACATCCAATCTAAACCCTCCCTCCTTGAGCTTAAAACCATTCCCCCTTGTCCTATCACTATCTACCCTTGTAAAAAGTTGATTCTCCTGCTGTTTATAATCCCCTTTTAAATACTGGAAGGCTGCAATGAGGTGTCCTTGCAGCCTTCTCTTCTCCAGGCTCAACAAGCCCAGCTCCCTAAGCCTGTCTTTGCAGGGGAGGTGCTCCAGACTTCTGATCATCTTAGTGGCCCTCCTCTGGACCCTCTCCAACAGCTCCACATCCTTCCTGTGTTGGGGGACCCGGACCTGGATGTGCTCCATCCAGATGGAGCCTTCACGAGGGCAGAGTAGAGAGGGACAGACTATCCCTGCTGGCCACCCCTCTTCTGATGGAGCTCAGGATACCACTGGCCTTCTGAGCTACAAGAGCACTCTGCTGGCTCATGTCCAGTTTTCCTTCCCCCAGACCCCCAGGTCCTTCTCTGCAGGGCTACCCTCAAGGAGTTTTTCTCCCAGTTGTGTATGTATTTGGGGTTACTCTGACCAAAGTGCAAAACTTTGCAATTTGCTATGTTGAATCTTATTAGATTCACACGGGCCCACCTTTCGAGTTTGTTGAGGCCCCTCTGGATGGTGTCACTTTCTCCTAATGTGTCAACCCCACCACTCAGCTTGGTGGGGTTCCATCGCTAAACTTGCTGAGGGAGCAGTCAAGCCCATCACTGATGTCACTGGAGAAGAGCACCAGTCCATAGACAGAGCCCTGCGGGACACCGCTTGTCACTGGCCTCCGCCTGGACATATTGCCATTCAACACAACTCTTTCTATGGCCTTCCATCCTATTCCTTATCCACTAATTAGTCCTTCCTTCAAATCTGTATCTCTCCAATTTAGAGATAAGGATGTGTTGGGCAACCATGTCAGACGCGTGCACAAATCTAGGTACATGACATCAGTTGCATTCCCTTTGTCCACCAATGTTGTCGCTCTATTGTAGAAGGTCACCACATTGATCAGGCATGACCTTCCCTCAGTAAAGCCATGCTGGATGTCTCAGATCATCTGCTTGTACCTAATATGCCTTGAAGAACCCTATTAATCGTAATTCCTGTTTTTGTAACAGAGTTAAGATTTATGGAATTCTTCTTGCATTCTTTATATTTTCTTAAATTCAATGAGCAGGATGGACTCCAAAAGAAGTGATTAGGAAGGCCTAAATCCAAAAGTATACATGTTACCAGCAGTGAGTGTTTGTGAAATCCTTAATCTTGTTTCAAACTGTTTTACATGACTCTCTCAGTCAGCATCTGACCTACATTCTACCTTGCATTTGTTTCACAATGGATTTTTGGGTGTTTCTGATTTCGTCCTTACCTGTATTGAAAAACAGCTTACAGCTTCCTGAGCAAATAATGGAATCATCTATAAAGAAAATTGAATTACAGTAATCATAAATCATTTTGGGTTGGAAAGGACCTTTAAACATCATCTAGTTTCACTCACTCTTTTGCCTCTCCCACACCTCCATGGGCCTGGATATCTTTCACTATATTAGGTTGCTCAAAGATCCATTCTGCCTGACCTTCATCACCTCCATGGATGGGGCATCCACCCACAACTTCTCTGGACAACCTGTTCCAGTGCTGCCTATCAGAAGTACTTACTGTTTAGATATGTAACTGTGCTTATTCTGAACAGTATAAGACAACATCAGCACTGCTTAGTGTTACATACCTAGGGTAGATGGGTAAATTAGGAGCTTGGTGTCAGTTGATCTTGTAATTGAAGAAGACAATCATTTAGAACAGCAGCTTAATTTGAGTGTTCTGAATGATCTTCTCAGGGCATCCGAATATGTCTCTTTGCTGAATCATTCTCTGAAATACACCTTCTCTGCCCAGTGGTGTAATGGTACTTTGTGGAAACTAAGCACGTGCTGTAGCAATCTCCGTTAAGAAAGTGCTAACAGTTTATGTTGCTGCTGCTTTGAAACACAACTGAGAGTTGTAACATGTAATAATACACGCTATGCTTAGTGGCATAAAGAAAATGGATGTGCATAACTTTGAAGGTTCTAGATTCGTGTAACTTTTTTATATATTAGCGAATTTGTCAGGTACTCAACATTTATATACTCAGCACATTGTGGTAATGTATTAAAAAGGAGTTGACTCAATGGTGTGTTTTAAATGAGAATAAGAAGTTTCCCCAATTAGGGGCCAGAAAATTAAATGAGCGTATAAGTATATGGTATAAACATCTAAGTCATGGGTCTTTGGGGCATAAGGGGAAGTTTGCCTTGATATTTGCCAACAAGTCTGTGTTCTTCAGCAGCTTGCTATTTGTCTTGGAATCTCCAACTCTCTGAGACAAGTAATCTCTACAGTGATTACATACGTTTGACAATTTTGCCCTCAGTTTCTGCATGCTGAGTACTGTATTTGTTAGGTGTCTAATTAGCAGGCTTCTAATTTAATTAGTCATTTACATGAACTTTGGAGAGTTTTTTTGAGAATGGTATTGTGTTTGTGTTCTCCCACATTATCTCTTTCCCAATCCTTCTCCTCTCTGAGGTCACTGAAGGGATAAAAGCCTACCCAGTAAAACATAAACAAATTAATTGCAGCAGTGTTTATGCTATTGAAATCCTGCCTCTTTCCCACTTTCTGTCTGAGAAAATTACATTCTCTAGGAAAATTAGTCAGCCAAAATACTAGTAGAGGTGGCAAGCTTGCTTTACTGATGATGAATGTTAGAACATTTGCTCAGAGTGCCTCTTTATTTTATCCTTGTTTGTCTGATCCTGGATGCAGTATTCAATTAAGTCATGTAATTGACAACTGCTGCAACTGCCAGATGAAAAGAAATATTTCTCAGAGCAGCAAGGCCAAGAGTTTGAAGGATGCAAAAAATGCGTCAGAATGGCTCCTTGATTTGTTCAGTTTGGTTCTTTATATCATTAATTCCTGTTCTTTAGAGTTTTTCTAGGCCAATTCCTACTGATTTAGACAAGGGGGTGCTGTTGGTAATAGGAAATATTCCTTTTACTGGGTGACAAATATAACATTCATTTACGCTTTTATTCTATGTAGCCTGCGTGGATGGTTGTTTTGCTTTTTCCCCTAAAGTTTTCCCAGGTGTATCATTATCCTTCTGGTGTAAAACTCTGCAGAGCTCACACATTTCACCTGGATTAAATTCAGGTGTAACTGCATGTAAAAGGTATTTTTCTTTTTCTTTTTTCTTTTTTCTTTTTTTTTTTCCTCAAGATTCTATAGCGTTGCATTTAAAAGAGCAATTTAAAGCAAGAAATATACACGGATCACTCTGAAAACAATGCTTCGTATTTATTTTTGTGAAAACTACCACAGATACAAATAGCATAATAACATTATTTGATAAAGCAAATTTTCAGCTACAAAATGCTGTCTTACAAGAGTCACCACCATTAGCTATACATTTTTGCTAGCAATGAACAAGAGCCTGCTTGCCACTCTCATAAAAATCTGCACCCGCAGAGGTGACCCACTGATACTGTCACCGCTACTGAAATGCACCCATCACCTCACTGGGCTCACATCCACTGTTTGATCTCCACTGTTTGGTTTAGTAAGCATCAATGAATGTCAATGGGTACAATCTTTTTCTTCATGGAGGAATTCAGTGGCAAGCCTTCGCACTTCCATGTCAGACACTTTCTTGTCACTACTCCTCTGCTGCCATCTGTCGCACAGCAACAAAATGTAATGGAACATTGGTAGGAATGTTCAACCTTTTCTGCCATACCACCAATATCTGCCTCTAATTTCATGGGCCAACATGATAAAATAGAATTGTAGAATCGTAGGTAGCATTACTTTTGGAGCAGTCCCTGCAGATGTGGTTTTCAATTTAAACGATTAATGTTTTGCTGTTTTTACCAGCAATTGAAGATAGGTAGCTTATAGAAACTGTCATGTCAGACAGAAGCTGAAGAAGTCTTCAGTACTGCAAGGACCACACTGAATTACAAGAGCCAATTATTCTATGATCAGAACTACTGTCTAGAATACAATAGACTCAAAGAAAATTTGAGGTTGGAAGGGACCTATGGAGGTCACTTGGTTCCAGTACCCTTGCTCAAGCAGGGTCAGTTACAGCAGGTTGCTCAGGACCATTTCCAGATAACTTTTAATTATCACCAAGGATGGAGATTTCACGACCTCTGTTGACCATCTATGCCAGCACTCTGTTTCTTTACTCATAGTAAAGAAGTACTTCCTGATGTACAAACAAAGCCTTCTGTGTTTCAGTTTGTGCCCATTGTCTCTTGTCCTGTCACTGATACCACTGAAAACAGCCTGGCTCCATCCTCTTTGTACTCTGCATTGAGATATTTGCATATTTTGATGATATTTCTCTTGAGCTTCCTCTGCTCTAAACAGTTCCAGCTCTCTGAGTCTTTCCTCATATGAAAGATGCTTCAGTCCCTTAATCATCTTCATTATCCTTTTCTGAACTCACTCTAGAATGTTTTCCTTAATGATGAGACCAAAACTGGGCACAGGACTCCAGATATTGCCTCACCAGTGTGGAATAGAGAAGAAGGATCACCTCTCTCAATCTGCTGTTCGTGTCAGCAGGCCTTTCTGGGGTGAAGTGTGGTGACTGTGCTTGCAAATTCTTAATCAAATCTAAAGGGTCTACTAAAATAACCTAGAGTCTGGTGGAAGAACCATGGGTATTCTCCAAATATAAGTGAATTATTTGGTCCGAAACTTGTCTGATGGCATGCTCTTTCCTAGAACTGGAATATATTTCAGCTCTCATTAGTTTCCTCAATTTTCTCAGCATCGGAGATAAAAATAGCATAGTTAAGCTGCACCATATGAAGCCTTGTTAAGACATAACAGTGAATTCTTGTTTATATCTTTTCCATCCATTTGAATGCAGCATTTTTTTTAAATGTTTTTAATTGTATATAAAAAAAACACTTCTCCCTCAAGCTCCTGAGATAACTAGCTTACTGCAGGAAGGATATCACATGATTCATTGATTCATCATTTTCTGCCTTCTGAGCCTCAAAATATAGACCATATATAAACCACACACATATGTATAAATGTCTCCCCTCCCCTTTCATTCATTCCTCTCCCTTTCCCTCTCCTTCCTTTCCTTCAAAAACAGCTCAGCTGATAAATATGCATTACTAGTCTTTAAGGAAAAAACTGATTATTCATATTGTCTCATTATTGAGATATATGAGATTATATATATATCATATATATAATATGAGAATATATTATATTCTGGAAAGAGGTGCCATATATTTGTCTGCTTTCCTTAGAAGCCACTTTTACTTCACTGCAGGATCTGTGAGTCCCCACTCCTTCAGGCTGCCAAGGAGAACAACATCCCAGTCATTATGAAACTTCTCACTGATGAAACATGTGATATTTATCAGAGAGGTAACTCATTATTTTCTCTGAATTGTTTTTTGGGGAAAAGCAAGAACCTGAAACAATGAGCATAGTAGTATGTAAGCTAGTTTACTGCAACGTTCTCACTGGCAGAATCAAATGACTTAGATCTATGTCAGCAGCTTTGCAATAAAATGAGTTCTCTAACTCAAGTCATAAACAGTTGGTAATGATCAGAGTTTTACAACTTGAAGAGGCTATTTTTACAGAGGGACTGAAGGATGTGTTTTACAGAGGCAGGTGGGCAGTGGAAGGGTTGTGTACTCATTTCAGTTCATGGCACTCACAAACACCTGAAGTTTCTGTTCAGCATTTGGGTTTTGGTGGAGTGACTGTCACCACATTGTATGACAAAGTGGCACCTGGCAACACTCAAAGGAAGATCGGGAATACCCATAACCCTCTACCCCAATAAATCTATGTCTGCTTTTATTCTGTATTGCTGAATGTCTAGATGACTCACGTGCTTACTTTACTGTTTCTAGGTGCAGTAGGGGAGACTGCCCTCCATGTAGCTGCCTTGTATGATAATGTGGAGGCTGCACTGGCTCTGATGGAAGCAGCTCCGGAGCTTGTCAATGAGAGGATGACATCAGAACTCTATGAAGGTAACATCTCAAAGAATGGGGTTGGAGAGGTTTCTCCGCAAGGGGAGAGAGGAGGTTGTAACTGTTTCTATTCAGGAAACTGGAATATACTGTTCCTGGTTCAATATGTTACTAAATTACTAAATTTTGTTACACTGCAAAAGCAATATACAAATAGCTCCTGACCTTTTGTGGAAGGTGGCTTTATATTAAAACTAGCTTGTGCAAGAAAGCAAATGCGTAACTCACAAAGTACTAGTGGGTCTGTTCACTACAGCGGGATGGCAATGATGTGTACAGCTTTGCTTTCTGCCATAGACAAACCAGATTGTGTGACAGAAGAGTTCCCTGCCTGATCTTCTTTGAAAAGACAAAAACTGATTCTTTTGCTGGCAAATAATAGGGATTAAAAACAATCTTAATTGCTGTTACTGAGTTTTGAATCAGAGCAATTTTTTAAAAAGCTAGAGTTTCTTATGTGATTCTGTTTCACTGTCCAGAACTATCTCAGAGTGTATTGAAATCACTAAAATAGTAATTAGGGGGTTTTAAAACTTCTAATATCTAGTTTGAAGGATTAGAGAAAGTTTGGGAACTTGGTTTTGATGCATGTCTCATTAAGTCCTTTCAGACTGTTCCTACCTGCAAAATAACCCAGAATAACCCTACCTGCAAAATCTCTCCAAACGAACAAAAACCCCAACATGCAGAAAGTGCGTCCTGCTGGTTTAGTTAGCAGACTGTAAAATCTTTTTTCATGAATTCACAAGACCACTAGTCTCTAGTCCACAGCAATAACCTGAAAGCTAATCCGTATTAGTCCTATGGATACAATTTCCCAAAACTGGTATTTAACATGTGTTGAGTGTGAACTGCAGGCTGCTGATCAGCCTGAAGTTAACTTCTTAGAGGACAAGGTTTTGTATCTGTGTTTTACAGGGCAGACAGCTCTCCACATTGCAGCAGTGAACCAGAATATCACTTTGGTGAAGGCTTTGCTCAAGAGAGGGGCAAATATCTGCACAGCACAGGCCACTGGGCACTTCTTCAGGCGCAGCTCCCAGAACCTTCTCTATTTTGGTACATCCTTCTCTTTTCTTCTCTCCTTGTTGCTATGAGAAGCAACCAAAAGAGTGATGAGGGAGGCATGTTTCAGTTCCTATCTAAACTGCATAAGCAAAGGCTTCTGTCTTCGAGGGTCATCATTCACCCACTTCTGTCTCACAGTAAAGCTTCATCTGAGTTTGTAAATACTACATTAATAAAAATATATTAATTGAAAATATTTTACATATTTGCATGTATACAAACATTATATATTGCATAAAAAATATAATGTTAATTTCTACAGTCTCTTGGTCCTTTCTGAGTATGATGAGTAGTGGGCCAGAAATCTCATAGGTTACTTTTACAGGTTCCTTTTATAGCTTTGTGACATGGATCATTTCCCCTCACCATACTTCAGCCTCACTCACGTGCTAGGGACTTAATATTGTTTCCTCCATCCCCTTCTTTGCAGGAGAACATGTTTTGTCATTTGCTGCCTGTGTGGGAAATGAGGAGATTGTACAGTTGCTCATTGAAAATGGAGCTGACATTAGAGCTCAGGATTACCTGGGTACGTGCCTAGTGAATTGCATACATTGAACATTTTAAACCAGACTCCATCAGCTTGTTCAGTGTGGAGAAAAGAATGCTCTGGGGAGACATTGTTGCAGTCTTCCTGTATTTAAAATGATATTATAAACAGGAAGGAAATCAACGTTTTTACAGCAGTAGTTAGTGATAGGACAAGGTGAATGATTTTGAACTAAAGCAGGTTTAGGTTAGATGTTAGTGAAAAGTTTTTCACTGAGAGGGTGGTGAGGGACTGGTACAAGCTGCCCAGAGAGGTATTCGAGCCCAGGTTACGTGAGATCCTGGATAACCTGATCTGGTAGGTAGCAACCCTGCCCATAGCATGCGGTTGGAACTCTATGACTCTAGAAGTCCCTTCCAAACCAAGCCATTGTACGATTCCATGATCTGTGTACCTGAGTATTTTTTCCTCACTAAAAACACAGTTGAAATGAAGGATATGAGGAAAATGAAAGCCATTATTAATGCCATCAGGCAATTGCCAGTCTTTCTACAGAGTTGTTATTCAACATGCAAGGACTGCTCCAAAAGTAATGCCTCTAACTTCGTGATGTTGAGCCATGAAACCAGGAGCAGATGTTGGTGGTATGGTAGGAAAAGTTGAACCTTCCTACCAATATTCCATTATATTTTGTTGCTGTGTGACAGATGGCAGGAGAAGAGCAGTCTGACAAAAAGGTTTCTGACATGGAAGTTCACATGAAGGAAAGGTGCGCCATTGAATTCCTCCATGAAGAAAAAGACGGCCCCCATTGACATTCACTGATGCTTGTTAAACCAAACAGTGGAGACTAAACAGTGGATGTGAGCACAGTGAGGTTGTGGGTGGTGTTTTGTAGGTGTGGCAGCAGCAATAGTGGGTTACCTCTTGTGATGCAGATTTTTATGAGCATGGCATACAGGCTTTTCTTCACTGCTGGTGAAAATGCACAGCTAATGGTGGTGTCTATATTGAAGAATGGCATTCTGTAGATGATAATTTGCTCTTTTAGAGTTATTGTATTCTTTGCACCTGTGGTAGTTTTCGTGGAAATAAGTAGAAGGCATTATTTTCAGAGTAACCTATGTATTCACCCATTCTGATTATTTAACAGGTAACACCATCCTCCACATCTTAGTTCTCCAGCCTAATAAGACATTTGCCTGCCGCATGTACAGCCTGATACTTTCCTATGACCAGACCAAAGAGGGACCAAGATCACTTGAATTAATTCCTAACAATGAGGGGCTTACTCCATTCAAACTGGCTGGAGTTGAGGGCAACACTGTGGTAAGTTTATTTGTGACACTGTTGCCTCCATATTAAAGACTTTATTCAGAAGCAGAGAACTTGAAATAACATCACCCTGAACAAGGGAGTTTGTACACACTCTTAGTGGGTTGAAGTCTTGTATAAGACCCAAAAGCCTGTTTAAGAAATTTCTTTATCTTAGTGAGAAAAACTCATGCTTAAAGAATAGATCTTTTGGTCCAATTTTTGAAGCTTTTCAGTTAACCAGTTTATTAGCAGAAAGATCCTCCCAAAGCCTTTTTTAAAAGTCTGACTGAAGTTGTTTCTATTATCTATTTCATTTTCCATAAACATGATACACGGAGGAGTTCTCCAGATATCTGCAGACATTTGTTTTTATGCAAGATCTCAATATAAATCCTCATCCTTTGCTTTAATAAAAAGACAGAGGTGATTAGTGTTTCTTCTGTAGATTCACAAAGGACAATATGATTCCCTTTTTCATATATCTCTTTTCTGATGATCTGTAGAAAAATATGAAAGGATTTTTTTTTCCCTAATCAACATATCCACATAAAATCTTTTGTATGGAGACATGACTACTTCAAACAAGTTCAACAGTGTGACTAGTGTTAAGGATGACTACACATTTGCTTCCAAAGCATACAAACACAACATTTTCTCCTCAGTTTCAAATCTGACATAACTTCAAGCAGTCCCTCTTATTTTAGTGGAATCTCTGTGTGTGGCTGCAAAAGCAAAATGGGACTCTTAGGCCTGTCAGACACTTCTGTGCTTACTTTTGGTATGTCTGGGAGAATATCTGTGCTACACAGCTGTAATGCAGGCAGCTTTATACTTTACTTCAAGCACAAACTAATAATCAGATGGATCAGGAAAAAAGCTCTTCCCATTCTTAAGCTGATGGAAGAGAGAGATGTGAGAACCACAGCTAAGTTAAAGGAAAATATTTTGTAATGCAGAATTTTAACAATTTCAGTGTATTTGCAATGAGAACAAATATTTACTGGAAGGCTTCTATAATCCTTGATTCCCTTCTTTTCTCCTCAGATGTTTCAATACCTCATGCAAAGGCGAAAGCATAATCTCTGGTCCTTTGGCCCCTTGACCACTGTGCTGTATGATCTCACAGAGATTGACTCCTGGGCTGAAGATCAATCCTTCCTTGAACTCATTGTCTCAACCAAGAAGAGAGAGGTACTGTAGGCATGAGAAGTTTTGAGGACTGTGGTAATTCTAAAAGGAGAATAATGAGTTTGAAGGCTCAGGCTCTTCCATATTATTCACAGGGCAAGAAACAGTATCATACTGCGGGCAATACATGAAATATAGCAGCTTTTTAACAATACATTTATATTTGATGCTTTAGCAGTTTATTCTGAGATGGGAGCTTGAAGATGGATTGAAAGAACATCATATTAACAGATCACATGGAACATGTTTCAGTACAGGGTTCTTTCTTTTTTCCCATACTCAAAGATATAAATAACATGTAGCTCTAGAGTAGCTTTAGCATATACTAGCTTTCTGTATCAGTGATAGTGATTAACAACATCACCGTGAGGCAAACTATGTTAAGAAATCCTAAATTGGAATGCATTTTAAAAGCACTCCTTATTGTTATTATTTTCTTCATTTAATCACTATTGGTTATCCAGCTTATGACTCAAAAAGAACGTGGATTATCTCTGCTGAATCAGAGATGAGTCAGTAGACACTCTAATTATTAAATGGATAAACGCTGTATGGAATGCTCCCAGTTCTGTATTATCTCCATCTATAAAAATTTCGGAACTTCAGAAACAAAAGTTTCAGCAACTGGAGAACAATGTGAAGGAAGTTCATGGAATTCTCATTTGTTTATATTTAAAAGCCTCTAAATCTGAATGCGTAGAAATGTATGGGAAAACACCCTGTGTCATAAAACAGAACAACCTTGTTGTCCAGAAGGATAAACCATAACCCTGAAAGAAGGAAGAATACTGTGTATCTGTCTTTTCCCAATACATATGGTGTATGCAGATGCAACGTTACCAATTCTAGAGCATTTACCTAGATGCCAAAAAGCTTCTTTGTTTTCCAGAATGCTCTTAATCATGAGTAGTTGGAATTTCTGCATGTGTAGGTAAGAAATTTGTCATAGTGCTTGATACACATTAGACCAAAAATCTTTCCTGTCTCTTCTGGACACTTTGACGTATATCCCCCTCTTGCTCATTGCAGGAATCCCCTAAATGGTGGAAGAAGTAAGTCTAGAAGAATTTAGTTGAGTTCATAGCTCAAATTCATTAGCATAAGTCCTACTTACACTCTAAATGTCAGTCTTTTTGCAGAAATTGAAGGCTTAATATAGATGATTCAATTAATCATCAACCAATTAACAACACAGAAACTTAAAATGCTGTATTTTTGTGTAAGCCATGAAGCTTTAGTTAAGTGCTAGTCACATTTGGAAAAAAAAAGTTCTTATTTTTTTATCCTAAATAATCTGATAAAACATACTTGTACTGCTGTAGCAATGGGAATATTCTGCCATCAATTCAATGTTCCAGTATATGACAAAATCATTTTGAAAATTCATCAGATAAATTTAACTGTTGGTATTTTATCTTCCAGAATCTGCCTGAACTGAGGGCATTTTTAAGTCACTTACATACATGCCCTTGTCTACCTTTTACAGAAAAGACCTTGTTGACTTTGGTGCTCAGATGAAGAACTCCTAAATGATTGCTGCAAAAGCAGCTAATTGGTTGTGTAAACTCTGCATGCTTCCTATGAGCTATGAGCCAAGAAAGTTCTTCCCTTTTATAGGTGGAGAAAATACAAATAAAATAACACTGTCTTAAAGCAGCTGAATCTAGCTGCCTTAAACAATTGCTGAAGTACAAAGCAAACTTTGATGCTTTGTGATGTCTTTGTTTTGGCTGGGATAAAGTCAGTTTTCTTCACTGGAGCTGTGTTGTTGTTTTATAGTTTTGGATCAGTCTTTTATGTCATAACATCATGTAGCATACTCCGAGTTAACGAGTTAATGCTGCAGTTCCATGGGTTATCAGTAGTTCCAGGTACCTGGTCTCAGAAGAGAAGAATGAACTGCAGCTCCCAGAAGACTTCATTATTCCATTTCCATTTTCTGTTCAGAGGGAAAGATGAAACTGACTGGGAGTCATGAGACTGTTCCTCTTTTTCTGCCCACTTTGCTTGGTGTGCTCCCTGGCAGTATTGCCTACAACATTAGAGTAAGGCCTACAGTTTTGGACACTCTCTCTCATTTTATTTGATTTATTAGCATCAATTCCAATGACACTGTATTATATTGTATTATCTTTCATTCCACTATCATATTTAGTAAATTAGTTTTTCCTTAGCTTGTTATTACTGTTTTCCTCATCTGGGCCTATCTCCCTGTCTTTTCCCTTCCCCTTTCCTGGGGTGTGGGTGCATGGGTCCCTTTGCCACTTCGGTCACAGAACAAGGCTGAACTGGGCCTAACTGTGACATTTTTGGTGCACTGCCTTGAAAAACAAACTTTTAATGCAAAACTCTCTGAGCTCTAACTCTCGGAAAGCGTTGTTAGAAAGCTTATCTTGTTTACAATCCTTGATTTCTAGGTGGACTGCCAACTGCACCATTTTTTTGTGTGTGTGTTTGTTTTTGGCACTGTGTCAACTTGTTTTTATAAAGAGACAAAATGTACTTTCTTTCTCTTGTAAAACTGTTCTTCAAGAGATTACATTCCATCATGTTCATCCTCTTAATACTTAGAATGTACTAGACTTTATCAAGTCCTCCACTCTGCTCCATGAAGCTGTATACATATATAAAAAGTTAGAAGTACCAGTAGAAACACCTATCTGGTGCCTGCATACACTGTGGTATGTTTTGAGCATTGAAAGTTATGTCCCAGAAGGAGTTTCTGATTTTACAGAACAGGTGATTTTTAAACAGGCTTCCAATCTGTCCCCTGAATCCCTTATATGTTTTTTGAATGCTCATTCAGTGACCATGTTGTCAATCTCCCTGAATGTATTCCTTGTCATCTTACTCAGTATCTTTATTTGAAATATTTGAGGAAGTCTTCCCCAAAGCCAGAGAATACTGAGTGGCAGGGAGTGCGGGGGGACTTGAGAGAGACTTTAGAGAGATGGGCATCCCCGGTGTCATGGAATTTTACTCCTGAACACCTTCAAGATCCTAAGAATCTAAGCAGGTATCTAAGACAGGCGTGTTGTGGCTCAATAAATCTGAGGAGATGCAAATTATTTGGGGCCTGGCTTATGCCTACCAAGCCTCATTCAACACTATGTCAGGGATGTTAGAATCACAGGATAACAGAATCACAGGATCACAGAATCACCAAGGTGAAAAGACCTTCAAGATCATCCAGTCCAACCATCCACCTATCATCAATAGTACTCACTAAACCATGTCCCTCAACACAAAATCCAAATGTGTTTCTGAGCCAAAAGGGAGAGTTTCCAGGAGAAAGTCTGAACTGAGAAAGAGAATCTCTGGGTCAAGAAAGGGAGTCTCCAGATTGAGAAAGAGAATCTCCAAATTCAGCAAAAGAGTTTCCAAGCTCCAGACTCCACTATGAATGAGTTGAGCTAGAGAGAAAGAGCATAAAAACTGTGAGGTCTAATCAACCACAGGAGGCACCAGTATCAATGTCAATTGCCCCTATAAGAAATTGAAACAGATGTTACCTCATTTAGAATGAAAAGAAGGAGAAAGAAGAGGAAGAAGATCTAGGGGAGGGGCCCTGAACAAGACCACTGTCACCAACATTAACTAAGGCAAAAGCAAAAACTAAAAAGAAGAAGAAGGTGAGGAAGACACTGTGACCATTATTAGTACCCAACCTCTAAAAATGACTGAAATTCAAGGTCAGGAAAAGATTTTGTACGGCACCCAAATGAACCCACCTGGTTACTGTGATGCTGGGACACTGGGGCCAATAGTGTGTTGCTAGATGGTAGAGAAGCTTGCCAGCTGGGAAGTATTGCTAAGGACTCAGCTATTGACAAAGGAATTAGTAGATGTCAGGATGGGACATTCACCCTCTGGAGGTGAATGCTATTAGCCCTAGAGGAAAAATACCCTTCCAAAGAAGATCTGATGCCTAAGATAAAGAAATGGACTACTGTGGGAAAAGACATCTATTATTTGAGAGAATTACCTGTGGTGGAAGTGTTACATGACCCCATGTTCATTCCTGACAATCCACACCAAGATCATGATCCTGAGAGAGTCACGTGTGCACCAAGTATGTGGCAAAAATTCATAAGAACTGTACCAGAGAAGTACACTGGTACACCAGGAATGTATGAGAGAGGGTGAAGACAACCCATTTCATTTATATTGATGAATAGACTTCATAACACTGAACAACATTTAGCCCCTCCACAAGCTTATATTTCAGCCATTTCAAAAGTAACTGTAAGACTGAATAAAATGCAGAGTAAACATAAAGATACGACAGAGGAACTGTCTACTTTGCTTAATCATGATGAACCTGATGAAGCTGCGGTAGTATCAGAGACACCTGATGAGAATCAGGATTATCAAAACAGTCTACTGAAAGGGCTGATCAAACTGATTTGCTCCCTGACTAAATCATCCAATATCTCAGCTATTAAAAGCAGATGTCTTCCTGCTCAAACAAGTGATAATAGTAATACTATGTTGTGTATTGCTTTTTGGAGTTACCTATGTGAGCATGGAGAAGATATGAAGAAGTGGCATAAAAAACCCACTCCTACTCTACAAAAGAAAAAGAATTACAAAACAAATCAACTGCCAAGGTGAACTCCTCTACGAAGGCAATTGTTCCAGTTGCTGTGGGTCATGGCAAGAGCTGTAAGAATCCTGATCATGAATCACAAGAGAAGAATGACAAAGGTAACAATTAGAGGGGCTCTGCCTCAAGCCAGGGGAAGGAAAGGGAAAATAGAGTATATTGGACTGCATGTATTCAATGGCCTGGGACGTCAGAACCACAAAAATATGAAGCACTGGTGGACACTGGTGCACAGTGCACTCTATTGCCCTTGAGTCATGAAGGGGCAGGATCAACTTGTATTTCTGGGGTGACTGGGGGTTCCCAAGAGCTGACTGTGTTGGAGGCTGAAATAAGCCTCACTAGTCAAGACTGGCAAAAGATCCTATTGTGACTGGCACAGGGGCACCATGTATAC